ACCTCGGATATACAGATTTCTACTTTTAGAAAAATTTTCAGCAGCCACGTCACGTGCCAAATTATTTACAGTTAATTTTAAATCAAGACGGACCGCTTCCCGACAACATGACGGGGAACATTTAACATGGAGATGCTGTATTAGAAAATAGCCTGAATAGCGAACTGTTTGACGAGTCGGCCGAATTAATTTAGTTTGCAGGTACGATACGTCACATCGGACAGCGAGACCCATGTCCAGGCGCGATGACAGAATGATATTCGGACATCACGGCCGTCCGGGCGGTTAGAAAGTTCAGGGGCCATTGAACCGCGACCGGCCATGCGAAAGGATCGCTCGCACGCACGCACGCACGCACGTATTCGCGCGAGGAGTTCGAAAAAGAAGAAAAGAAACATATCGTTCGTTTTTTTTTTCTTTTTGGGTCAGCTGATTTACTTTTATGAATTGGCGCACGGAGAAGTGCGTTCTCTTCGGTGAAATAAAAGATCAAAACAAATGCAGATGCTCGCAGTACGCGCATTCGTGACTCGCGAGGAGGAGCAGCGAGACGCAAAGTTCTCTCTCTCTTCCTCTTTCACTTCGCGGCGGCAGTGCCGATGGCTGCGCGGATCTCGCCGCAGAAAGAAGGGAAGCTCGAAAAAATAAGAAAGGCAGAAATAAACGCAAGTCGCGAGCGAGACAGAGCGAAGCCATGGGCAATAATTCTCGTATTTTAGGGAGGCAATTTTGAAGGCGAGTACGCACACGAGAGGAGAGCTGGATTTTCGAGGGCTGTACTTTTCGATAATTTATGCCAACGAGCCTCTCCCGCTCGGCTCGGCTTTCCGAGAACCGATTCTCTTCGCCGTGCGCCCGTGGTCGCCCATCCGCAAACTTCGCCGATCGGCGAAACGCACTTCGGTTCTCTGGCACGCGTGTTACAGAGTGACACACTTGCTTTACCGAAAATTGCACGACACTCGTAAAATTTGTATGATTTCGCTCTCCATCGAATTTATACTTCGCAACCAACATCAAGACGCGCGCTAAATAGCCGTTCAGATTTCGGGAATATTCGAGACAGAGTAAACCAGGATAATTTGACGGTATTGCGATTTTATTTCTTACCATCTTGGTTTCCGCAGCACCGTCCACATTAGACGTCCGTAAATTAGCTTAATCTCTCTCACTTATTACTTTTTTTATGATACTTGAAAAAATCGCGGAGGACAAATAATCCAGACTGCGGAACATTTCTAATAACTGCAGAAAATATCCAACACATATAAAGGAAAGGCTCGAACGATAACTATCGAATAGTATAATAGAAAGGCATCGAGAGCCGTCGCGGGATGTTAGTGCGAAATTTTAATTTTTCTTAAAGAAATTAACTTATTAGTCTACGTGAGGCAGGAAAATATCCCTTCCGCTGGAATTTTCTCGAAGTTACGCGAAGACAAAACGGAAGCACGGTGAAATCAAGCGTAAAATGAAAAACAATGAAGCAATTTAATAATACCGATACGCGGCGGGTGGGGAGAGGAATAAGTACCCGTATTTAGTGGATACTCCTGGTAGGCAGCGGTACGTGGAAGGATTTAAGGTGCGCGAAACCCGGCCAGACCGTAGCGCGGATGTAGATGATCCAAGATTATAGACATTAGGGACATTAGCCTTGGCGTTATGCGATTCTTCGGTGGCCCCGGGGCCGCCCCGGGCTCTGCATTCGTTCCTCGTACACTGTGCTACCCGCGTAAAATGATTCAGCAGCATTCCGTTTCCCGCCGATCACGGCCGCTTCCGACGCGAGCGTCCCAAGAAACCGAGAACCATCTAGCGCGTTGAATTCAAGCGCGCCACCGGAAAATTTCGCTTCGATTCTGAGAATTTTCCCAATCGCAGCTTCTCCGCGTAAACTCAATTAAGATCGACGCTTTTCCGCCAGCGCTAGCGCGTAATTTTGAATCGATCGGCGCGCTTGGGCGCCCTCGGATCGCTTGAGAATCGCGAGATGATAATTGCGTTCTAAACGCGAAGGAGAGCGCCGTGCATCAATTACACCGGTCGGGAGAACGTGTTCGCGCGGGAAGGTAAATCGTCGACGAGGGGTGGTGCAGGGCGAGGGGGCGAGAGCGAGGCGCAATCGAAAGACGAATGAAACATCGAAGGCGACGATTACGGGAGTGACTATCCTGTAATCCACCAGCGCGGATGGTTTCTTAGATCCTGGCTTGATTGGTAATTGGATTCCACTTCAGTACACACCCGAGGATACATTGAGGAAGGTCGTTTACCCCTTTCGGCGGAGCAATCCTTCATCGCGAAACAGTCAGTTCGATCGAATCGTTCGCTTCCGATTTCGCATCGACGTGCCGACTATATTTATCTCGAAATTACCGCGCGGCCAATATAGCTGAGTTAATAAAGTAATTTCACTGAAGCGCATTATCGAGGACTGCGCGAAAGGTTGAAAAAATCATTCGCTCGAACGATTTTTCAAACACTTTTCTCTCCTTTAGCGCTTAATTTGTCCGTGTTCTTCGTTTATACGGTAAAACGTTGCAAGCAACGTGTTTCCAGCATCCGCAGCATCGATGCGACAATGAGAAAGCTGACTCGGAGGAGCGAACCGCAAGAATATGTCGCGGTGGTTTAAGGATGATGAAGGCGCGACCTGACGTTCGACCGACGACCGCAAACAATGTCCACGATTGCATAAACTCAATGGTCGATTACCAGTGTTTACGATTTCAATTACCGGCTGGCTGATGAAGGATCATCGCCACGGCGAAAACAACCTTAGAGAAATTCTCGGCGAACAATACAATTGAACCGTGCAGCAACGAACTTGATCGGCCGAATCTATCAAAAAAGAATTTCCAAAGTTTCGAGTATCCACAATCGCGTATAGAACAATTTCCACGAAATGCTTTAATCATTAACAAATAAGTACTTAATATTGAGAAAGAAATTATAGAAACTTCGCAAAGAAACTATTTTTAAAATAATCGTACGGTTAAGTAAATTGCAGTGTTTGCTTTGCTCGCGGAAAAATTTCGCAAGTGCGAACGTCGTCACATCAACTGAAGAACTCAACCGCGAAAATCTATACGCTAGGAGCAAACCATCGCGAATTAGCATATGTGCAATATTGCGAGGTCACGTCAAGTGTAATCCGCATATGATGGTAATGCCTGCTTAAAGATTCAGGTACTAAAATTCCGTAATATCGCCCCGGAGCTCGCGCGCGTCCCAAGTCGATTCTCCTTCGACATGGTAAGCTGTTCGCCATCCTCTATTCATATCGGTAAATGGATTTCCGATTATTCGTACTACTTTGTCTTCACGATGGTCTGAATTTATCCGCGATCAAAATTTAGTATTTATTAGACATCGATAACGCAATAAGATTGAAAACTGTATTTAAAATCTGTAGCAATCGTTATCGTATAAATTAATGGTGTTTTAAGAGGATCTTCGAGTTACCGACTGATTAAAATTGACGTTGAAATTCTTTCGTTCGATTCACGAACGCTACCAAACAAGTCAGCTTGTATAATTTCCCAAAGGCGACATTGCTAAATTTGCATCGCCAGCGCGGTAAAGCGAAGCATTAGCCGAGAACGCAGTTAAACTCGGGCGAAAGAGCGTACGAGCAGGTGCAAAGGATTCGAGCGGACAGTTTTATCTTGGAAATAGAGCAGCAAAAGAAGAAGCGCGCCTTGATGACTCAGGCTAGGCTCCATTCTAAGAAGAGCGAAACCCGGAGCGAGCAGGGTTTCGCTCTCGTATAGAAATTAGTGATAATTATATAGGGCTAGCACCTGCGTGCAGGCGCAAAAACTCGGAGAACGCTCGTCGCTGTCGTGATGCTCGTGCCCTTTCGGACCTGAGCAACCAGCTATGAGTCATTGTTGAAGCAAGAGTCGAGGAACTTCTCCTCAAACCGGATATACCGTCGCACCACGGTTGGTTGTCGATGACAAGCCGAAGCGGAAGACGAGTCATCTCAGCAGAATGCATCGCGACCGTGACAGTGATTAACCATAGCAAGGTCGCGGCAAAAAGTTTCTGGCTCTTTCTCTCTTTCTCTCTCTCTCTCTTCGGCGTATTAGATCTAATAAATTTTATTGTGACTATCTACACAGGATTAACATACTTTATCCCAGAATACCTTTTCAAACATCCTAATTGAATTTGGAACTAAAATTGTACGAAAAATAAAAGTCAATTCCGTGCGGAAAAAAGAGAAAGAATAAAAGTTTCTAAGTTTAAGACGCACACAAATATGTGAAAATATTTGCGACTTTGTTGAAGTTGAATTTATACACACATTAAATACATCATGCATAATGTATGTATTTTAAATGGATGCTGACCGGTTTTCTGGTTTTGCGAATATCTCTGACGACTAGTTCGTTTTAAGGTGAAAAAATCGTGAAGGAAATTAGCATTATGAACGAGAACGCGGCTCGTTGATTTTATTTCTTTTCCGCGTTGCTTATTGATCAACTTGTTACGCGTAATTATCATCGCGACGTCGCGATTTAGTTTATTACCGATCGGTCGTCATCGAGACGATTGTGCTTAATAGCTGTGTTTGACAGCTTGTATCTTTATTATTATATAAAAAGCAGAAATGTTTTAAAGAAAATAAAAATGTAAATTATTATACAGCGGGAAAAACGCGCGCTTGCGTGGCCTAATATATTATAAAAATAATATCGACAACTAAAAGAATATTTACAAAAAAATGCACTTTAAATTCATGAGATTGCTTTAAATATCTTCCAAAGTTATGATACTCTTTTATAAAAGAGTTCTTTCGCTTAACTAAAATTTGTTTAGATTTCTCAACAGAATTTTGATATAAATTCGTTTCATTCCAGTGCAATCTGGTAGAAATCATACATGTCTGTACGATTAGAAGCTGCACACATTTGTTGTTTCATGAATGTACATAATATTACGATGAATAAAATAAAAGATACGGAGAATTCCGGGAAATTTTGACTTACCCTTCAACTGTGTGGTCTCGATCGCGAACATGTTGAGCGCCAAGAGTTGAAGTAGACGAGTACCAGGAAGCGGTAGCGGTGAGTGTTGCAACAGAGCTCTGAATTCCTTTAGCATTTGAACGCCAGCTTCTTGAAAAGTTTCCATTCTGAGAACAAGAATACGTTATTTTTTCCTTGTAAAATGTTAAAAGAACGACGTTAAATCTATATTTTATTCAATTTCTACATCAATATTAAAATATTAGTCTTGAAAAAGCTGACTAATAGAAAATGGAATAAATTGAAGAAGCCAAGAAGCTCAAATATATAAAAATCGAACAACATTATATTAGAAAAAAATCAAATCAATAATCGCACATTACGATACTCTAGTTTTAATAAAACTCACAGCAGTTCAAAAGATTGAATATCCACATTTTCAGATAATTAGCAAATAATTAAATTTGCTCGCTTTGAACATTAGAAAAAAACGCTTATCAGTAGACATCTATACTTCGACCTCAAAATAATCGGAGCTTGGATCGAAGTCGGAGAGTCTACAGCTCACACCGGATCGGCAGCTAATCTCGTACGGCCGAGGCCAGTGATAAAGGAGGACGAAGGTTGGCCGTGGGGTCTAGAACCGCCGAGGGGGCATCCTCGTAAACACGCCGGTGAAACGGCACCGGGAGATCTCGCGTAGCGGGCGCTATCTTTCCCACAGCCTCTTTCCGCGTGGCGCACTGTATATACATATATATTGTATACAGGGTGTCGCGGACCAACCGTATCGCCCGTTAACAGCAGATCCCTGAGGTTATTTGAAGATTTTTATGCCAAAATTTCGAAGCTACAATAGTTTTTAAATGAGAAATATTTAAAGTTCATCGATCAGAGTGTCAACAATTTTTACGCACGTCGCATATCGATTTTTATATCCTTGCCATATACGCGAAACTTCAAATTCCGGCTAAACTCTGCCGGGAAATAATAAGAATGGCGCTGTTGAAGGAGATAACGCGCCGATACTCAACGATCTGCCTTGTGCAAGGTGTCGCCGTGCGCATAATAAAGGTGCAATAAACATATCAAGGACGAAGTTGCGCCGATTCCGATTTCGGAGCGACTTTATATTTGATATGTTTATTGCACCCTTATTGTGCGCACGGCCACACCTTGTATCGGCCAGATCGTTCGGTATCGACGCGTTATCCTCTTTAATAGTATTATTCCTATTATTTCCCGCAGTTTTCGACCCCACTCTTTTCCGTCGTTACTTGTTACGGACGCGGAAGTGTGTCGAACGTGTAATCCGTGCAAGTTTTGTCCTAATGTAACAAAGTACGCGTCGACAGTGCCGTTTAAAACATCGTGCGATTTTCGCATTCACGTCGCGAACGCGTGAGTGCCTTGTAAGATTGCAAGGAGAGCTGAGAAAAAAAGAAGGCTCAGGAAGGACATCGAGGAGCAACTTAAGTGTAAATAATTTGTTATCTGTTATTTGCAAAATATTGCTAAATATTATGTAATGTGACGCACACATAGAAATTTTGAAATATTCACAATATAAAATTTGCAATCTTTAATCTTTGGTTATTAAATGTAAATGTATAATTCTTTTATTTTAGTAAATGTATAATTCTTTTATTATTTTGCATAAAAGAGATGAGTAAAAGTTTAATGTGCGTAATAATTATTTCTGAATGTACTTTGTATGTTACAGATCAACTTGTGAACAACTTCACTGCTACGCATCGTGCCGGTCAGTCAATCAATTTAACAGAATAGATTTAAAAATAATGTAATAGCAGGTTTTTGAGATTTCTCATATAAAAACCAACATGCGACGTCTGAGTGTGTGAATCTTTTACAATTTCATTAATCAACTTTAAACACTTACCACTTAAGATCTATTTTGGTATTCATTAATTAAGGATGTTTAGTACCTATTTTTGAAATATTAGGAATTTAATAAAAATTTTACAGATTGTTCTTACATATATTTGGAGACTTGACAAAATCCGAAGTCGATTCACTGACGCAATCAGAAGTTATAAGGATTTTAATTTGCAACGAATTCACGCGCGACTTTATGGAAAATGTGTAACCGTGTTGATTTAAGTGATTAAAATGAATAGAAAAAAAATTTTTTTGTTGAAGAAGTTTCTTTTCATACACTTTTTTGGTCACTATTTTTCCTTTCCATCGATAAGAGCCTACTTTTGGCATTGTGGATAAACACAACTAACCTTTATCCGCACGTCAAGCATAATTCAGAAAATTCGAAAATTCTCAGAAAAAAAACAACAGAAATTCAAAATTCAAAAGTACATTTCTGCACTCTACTTATAAATAAATGATAAGATTCTGTGCAATCTTTATTACTCAAACTATACGAGAAGAGCATATATTCGTGAAAATCGAATTTCAGCAACTTTTTGCTACGACTGTACGTACAAAACTTCCTTAAAGATTTTCATCTTCAAATGACCTCAGGGATCTGCTATTAACTAGTGATACGGTTGGCCTGGGACACTCTGTATACAATATATATGTATGTAAGTATATACATATATCCATACAGTGGCAAATCCGCGTAACGTCTAGCTCGATATCTCGACCCAACCCATACCGCGGCATTTGTAATCGGGAGCATTCGTGATGTAGCCTCCTCCTTCCAATCCTTAGCAACCCCTTTCATGACAAGCCCGTCGCTGTCCTACTTACATTTAACTGTTTATTGTAACTTCAATCATTTCTACCTGTGTTCACTTTTTGTACTGATAAAAGTTCAATGTTTGATGTTTCAGCGATGATGCCATTACATCTTAAAATAATTTATATGTTAGTAAAGATTTTTTTGGCATAAAAATAAAATACCCAAAATATCTGTTGATGTTTTTTTCTTACCGTTCTCTCAAACTTCTCAAGTTTTGGACTACGTTAGTCCAAAAGGAAATATTTATGAATTTTAGAATCCACAATTCTGTTGCTTATATCATATATTAATATTAGTTAAATTAAATAATCCATAAATTTTCGAGTTTAATTTTCAGAGAAATTGTCTTATAATTTCTCACATTCATGTTCTTTACACTTTCACCTATTATTTCCAATTGTTCAAAAGAAACATAAGGCTCTATGTTCCAAGACGAAATGAACCAAGTGTCGCGTTTGAGAAAATAGACAGAGAAATACACCGCTGTTGCGAGGAAGAAGAATAAACGTTCTTCAAAGAGAAATAATTAAGAACCAAGTTGGAAAATACGGAAGCAAGATCGATTGCCGGAAAGAAATTACACACTTAATTCCTAGAGCGATTATTGTGCTACCTTTCACGTGCGTCAAAAGGAATCGATAACTAAGTTCCTGTAATTAGCTGTGCGACGAACGTCCACAAGGAATCGCTGATAGCTCGTAGTGTTTTGCAAAATGCTCGACAAGAAAGACATTTGGAAGAGTCGGTACTACATTATTCCTAGATTATACTTGACTATGTCGGGAATATGGCCGTATTATAGACTCCGCGACAGATGCATACGCTTCACGCCAATGTTCATATTCTGCTCCAGTATTCTGATACCTCAGGTACCATATGTTGAATTTCGAGGCCTGCACTTGCGAGAAGGCAGTTCGTTATTTGTCGCACCGTAAATGAAATAGTTGTACTTTTTTCTTCGACTTTAAGAGTATATCGATAAGTTCCACAATCCACTGATTCTAACACAGTTAATATTCGTATTCACCGCAACGGATCTCGATGACGTGTTCGAGAGTGTGCCATCGGCGTTGATCAGCATACTATTTAGTTTTAAAATACTGAGTATAATGTTAAACACTAAGAAAGTAAGTATGAAAGATATGCAAGTTTTCATTGTGTTCATATATAAATTATTCGCTCCAAAAAAAAAAAAAAACAAAGCCGTATACATTTGGCAAAAAAAAAAAAGGTGAATAATGCCCGAAAATATTTTCACTAAAAATATTTTATTATTTATACAATACTAAAAAAATTGCTTTAAAAACGATGAAAACTTTTCCGTATTCTTAATAATTATTCACAAATTCGATGTCGTCGTTAATGTTACATATTTCAAATTTGTGACTTTAATTTTTGATTTTTATATTTAAAATACGATGCAATGTACAAGTTTACGTTTAATAAAAGGTAAAGGCCTGCCTTAAAAGAGTAGAAAAAGACTGGCTGTCAATAAATACAAATGTAGAAAAAGCTATTCTCCAACGCCACGCGGAATACGGACAGTATCTGACGACATTTTATGCAGGTATGTTATAAAAAATTAAAATATATACGTCTTGTTTCAGACAAATGTGAATTTTGCACCGTGTCTTTTATCATTTTTCGAACTTTTTCATGATTTATATCAAACCTGAAAAAATTTAACTCTTAAAAAAATGTTTTAGCAATAAATGTACGAATATAAAATTTGTATCTAATGTATATATCGTTTTTTTGTTTAGGTTTTATGCATGCAACAGCATTTTTTTACTTGCTCAAGCCAGTTGTCATAACATTATTAGAAAACGATACGAACGCGAACGCGACGACGAAGTTGTCCTTATCGAAGTTGCCATTTCAGGTCGAGTACGGCGAGAAATTAGACCGACACTTCTATTCGATAACAATTCACTGTTATTTAGGAGTATTCGCTCATGTATTTAGTACACTCGCGGTCGACACGTTATACTATACTTTGATCCAGCATGCCTGTGGAATGTTCTCCATTGTAGGGTAATCGTACAGAATATTCCAGAATAATCTTTTATCAACGAGATTACTTGACGGCATAAAAGTTAAAAATTGAGACAGCAATATCGCTCGTAACATTTTCAGACATATGCTTGAAAATATTGGCAAAAATAACGACGCTAATTTTCGTCTGAAGCTAGACAGGACGAAAGACGACAATTACAGCAAAGCGTTGGAATGTTTACGCAGGCACCTCAACGTAATCGAGTGCGTGTTAGCGATATCTGGGTGTCCGCTAGAAACAGTATTCGCATCGGTAATCGCGATTTTTGCAGATTCGCAGAACTGATCGAGTCCTTGTTTACAAATATATTCCTGGTCAGCGTTACTTTGAACATGGTTAGCGGCAGTATATGCGGCATACAAGTGAGTATAAATCTTCTGTGACGAGAAAAAAAAATGTTTCCACAACGAACAAATGAGCAGAGCTTCGCAGCTCAATTATGAAACTTCGTCAAGTAGAATATTCATTTCTTTAGTTGAAAACACTTAATTCGGAATGTTATGCGCGCTCGTAAAAACATCATCTAATAGCACGAAAGTTAATGGCAGCATGAACGTCTCTCCAAAGCGATTAATTTTTTATTCCAGGTAATAATGAATTTAGGCAATGCGAGGGACGTCGCAGCACCTCTGGCTATCTATGTTGCACAACTCACTCATCTTTTCCTACAATTTTGGCAAGCTCAGTTCATGTTGGACTACAGTACAATTCTGTACGAGTCTATGTAAGAGCTGCACCGAATCAATGTTTGCTTTAATTATTCTACTTTTCTCGTATGCAATGCATGCGCATTGCGATTCACTTTTCACTCTCTGAAACACTATCTTTTGTATGTCATAATGTAAACTTTTCTCTCCGCTTTATCGCTAATTATCATATGCAGAATAGCGCGAATTTTGCTTTGTATTACAGCTGCAAAGGGAACTGGTATTATACGTCGGAAAGGTGTCGAAAGATCTTTCTTCTAATTATGAGTAGAACTATGTCACCGTGCAAAATATCGGCTGGCAAAATCGTGACTTTATCAATTGAGAGCTTTGCCACGGTAAGTAGAATTACATCAGTATTATACAATCACGACATTATTCCTGTTCGTTTTAATTAACATACAATTTCTAATTATCGAAAAACTTATTGGATATTACATTTTCACTTTTTTAAGGTCCTGAAAACGTCAATGTCTTATTTCACGGTGCTACGTTCCTTCCAGTGATGAGGACATCACTGTAGGCCATATTGTTAACGAATCTTGTTAGCTTAATATAAATTGTATATGAAATTTCTCTTTAATATTCTTTTCATTTCATGATTTTAATCAAACTGTTGAGTCGATTCGAAAATCAAGTATTTACAAATTTTAGAAAATCACACGGCAAATAACTGACAGTTTTCATTCAAACATAATCATCAATCAGTACATCATGAATCACTTCGATTGGTATTGAAAAAAATTTTTTTTAAAAATTCAATTTAACAACTCAATTAAAAAAACATAAAATTTTATTATCAAAGCTGGGAACGAAACCATCTGACAAATGAATAGAAATAGCTCGATAAATTATACATACGTATATAGATCTATAATTTATCCGACTCAATTTCGTAAGCCATTCCATGATTTCTAATAGGACTAATATACTTTTTAACTGGCTCGATAAATCTCGATAATAGCCGAGAACGTGCTACTTCGGCCGAGAAAAAGGAAAGAGTGGGAAAGAGAAGGAAAGAGAGAACGCCAAGTCGTGCCGTTCCGACCTCTACGCCGACGTACCGTTACGTACTCTCGATTAAACTCTGAAGAATGACTAAGTAATCGTTTAACCCTTCGGCTCCCGCGACTTCTCCGCGTATAATGAATCACCCGGATTGTGTCCCTCGATCGAGCGATCCTCCGACCGAAATGTCGAGCTCGACGAAAGACACGACGACTATGTCGCCGATGGTGCCGATTTTCTCGAAACGCGCGCGAAACCTCGCGATTTTCCTGCGAGGGAAGGGAATGCCGGCGAGGCACCATTCCCATCGCGTCGCCGCGAGCGATAAACGCAGCTGCTGAAATCAGACACCTTCGGCGCGGTCAGCGGCGCGGATCAAGGCGCGCACTCGCACGCTCGTTCGCCCGCCTCGTCGTTTGATCCTCGAAAAAGACCGTTAGCCGCCGACTGGAATCAAGCTGATATGCTACCATCCCACATCGCATAGCATAATCGCCCGTGAGTATTTATTCGCGCCATTACCGATGCTAAGTCCCGAGCGAGAGAGTAAAACGTGACGATGCGAAGTGCAGTTCTGCGCGGACTAATGCGGCAGGCACCACGAGGCAAGATACATTCCCACAGCCCAAAAACTTATAATTATTAGAGAGAGATGCTAATTCTCCAACGTAGAAATCAAGATACGAGACAAGTTTGACACGTACATTTTTTTTTTAGTTAAAACTTCAAATAAAATTGTTGGATTTTCTTTCACTTTGAACACTCAATCATTGACTTGAACTACTTTCACGCTACTCATCGATCTCGTCAATATTAAATAATAATTTTTACAAACGCTTTTAGCGTCTTTATTAATTTGAATATCTGAATATTCGATGAACTTTTCAGATTGCGATAAATAATTCCAAAAATAAAAAAAAATTATTAAACGTTATTGAAGCAAAAATGGATTTGTGGATTGCTTGCACTTATTTCACACGCAAATCCCATTTTTATTATCATGACATGCTTCTTCTATTTCAGGAATCTGGCACACGAAAGAATTAATATACGATCGTTTCGACGTAAATCTATTTTTGGTGAAGGAAACGTCGGCACGTCGACGCGTTTGACACGAAGGTGAACGGACGCCGGTAACCAGTAATTTTCATATTATTCAAGCATAATCGTAAATCTGTATGGCATTAATACTACTTAATACTTGGCAAAATGCATTACGGTATCGGGTCTGCCTGTACAACTCCATGATCATCGATTTCTTTATCTTGTCCGCGCTTTACAACTCTTTCGCGGCGGATCGAACGTTCGGAATAATGCACGACGACGAGGAGTCGTATTTGCGACCGATTGATCGTAGATAACGATGATAATCTTGCGGCGGATCGTGGCCGTGGAAGTTCCAAAGTAGCGACGGCGGCCGATTAAATTTTATGGTCTTTTGATAGATGCTAAAAACACGACTATTATACGCCGGACTCTCGTGTAGGCTTATTAAGCCCGCGCTGCGCCGGGCAATGCGACTGCAATCACACGCACGAGTCGAAATAAGCGCTCTCGCTGCTTTCACGTTCAACGAGATGCCGTCACCGCGGCATTGAAATCACCACGCGATCGCAAACACCAGCTACTCGCTCTTGCCGCAAAAATTAAACAAAATTACCATAATCTTGTACAGAGAATTACGCAACGAAACTCACTGCGAAATTTTGAAAGAAAAGTTTGAGGAAAAAAAAAAGGAACGGTAAATCTGCGTGTAATGATAAATAATTGATCGCAATAAGCGGTATCGTTAATAATATTACTACTTAATATTAGGTATCTCGGTATTTCTTCGAAATGGAGCAACAGTCATAATCATTCGGCCGCGATCTAGGAAGAGAAGCATCCTCCGGTTAACTTGACTGAGAGAACCGGTTGCAGCAAGCATCGCTTAGAGCTAAGTTTAGCTAAGCAAATCCATTTTTCTTTTTTTCTCTCTACCTATACCATAAATAGAGTCCGGGGGTCTCATTAAAGGAGGGACTGCAACAAATCACTGAACCAGATTCACTTAAACCAGGCTGCCGATGCGGAGAGCTCCGCGCGCGTCCGCGCGAGCCGATTGCATTTTAAAGAGATCCCTCGGCAGCCCGGGTTGTCCCATCGACGTGGACGGGCCCCGGCTCTATGACTAACAAGTTTGCACTTTAGCGCATAACGGGGCATTCCGCCGTGCACCATAGATCACGGTCCATGACCCGCGGATTGCGTGGGCCGGCCACCATAATCATTCCTCGCCTCGATACAGCGACGCGGCGGCATGGTACCACGAGCATTAAGTTTCCAACTCTTCTTCCATACGCCGCCTCTCCTTCCTCGAGTCAATCCCAATCGCGCTATGTCCCCCCTATCGGGCCCGCGTCTTTCACGATAACCAATTTTCATCGTCCCGATCGAGAGATAATCGCGCCGCGCGATTATCCCTCCGGGGGACAGCGGTATTAAAGTGACGAATTATGCACACAAGCGCTCGATGCGATGTAGAATTAATACTCCATCGATGTAAAATATATATTTCATTGCGATTAAAAATATATTTTTTTTTTTTTTTGGTTCAAATATTTTTTAATAAAATTCACGCGAGTGTCGCGTGAGATCGAGGGACGCCCGCGGGTGACGCGGAGAGATGCGAGTTCGGAGAGAATAGTGCGTAATTCTGCGAGACGCGCAAAATGTTCGCGAACGGTATACGTTGTAGCACAACCGCGAAGATTAATTTAGCCGCAGCTATAAATACCCGTCGGATAGATAATAAATCGTCCCGTAAAATACGCAGCGCGGATAAATAGATACCTTCGGCACAAGAAAATTCCTTGGGTTTTTCATCGATGCGGACGCGCGAGTATAAATAATTAATCGACTCGGCGCGACACTGCTCGGGATACGATCGCGTCGCATCCAGATCTCCGATCGCCCCTGTAATAGAAATGTAATCCCATGGCTCTCGGGCTTTATCTAGATTACAAAATCTAAATGACTCAATCGCCGACGCCGATGCATCATCACGTCGCGAAAACGATTACGGCCAATACGTCGCTGTCGTGATCATTGTCATTAGTGTAATTATCATTAGTTATTGGCGGGCAATAATATCGTCTAAAGCTGCTCGAACGTAAGCTGCTTCTCAAACGGGATATCATGCATTTTACTTCGGGAATCAATTATAGTAATGATATGGCGCGCAAATGACACGGGCAACGCGCAGACCGCTCTGATTAAGCGCTGTCGGGAGGAAATACATGGCGACATAAATTGTAAGTTGCAAGTGAGACACGATGTAAGTGTCAAGGACGTTTTTCATGCCTTCAAACTCTTCTCTCCTACGTACACCTACTTTATGATGCGTACGATGAGATTTATTACGTTTATTCTCGCTATCATGTATGTACTCTTTATTTCTGTTTTTTCTTTCTTTTATGATCGAAGAATTAAAAGGAAGTATCAATCAAACTCAGGCAGACGCGCTTTTTAAGAGCGAAGAATATTCCGATCGTTTTAAATTAGAAATATGATTTATCTTTAAATAATACAATATTTTATGCAGTCGACTTTTTTTTTCGTTTATCTATATTTTATCATTTCCCTTCTAAAATTAAATTTTACATCCCAAGTATTCTTGTCGGAGTCAATCTTATTTAAAAAAATCATTTTTATATTTTGCGCTCCAAATACGTCACGTTCAAAAACATTCTTATTTAAAAATATTTTCTATTTTTACTTTACAACTTTCAAAATCTTTTTTATATCAAGTTTTTATTTATAGTTTGATTCAAATTTTAAAAACGTTTTCGCACTTGTAAAATCTCCATTCCAAAAAAAACTAACTCTTCTCGGAATTTTTAAATATTGGCATTTGCCAATATTTTCTTCGCTTTCTTTATATCATATTTTCTTTCTCGTTATTTCAACATTTTATTATGCTGCTGTGTCACGAACTGACAGACCGAAGTTAAGTCGCCACGAAGAAGCTCCGTCTGACAAAACATATCGTATAATCTGATCGTCCTTGCCAGCAATGCAAAGACGCATAAGCAACATCGTAATGAACCATTAGACCGGGAGTGTCGATGGCAGAGCCCGATAGGTCGATCACTATACTCACTACCTCTCCGTGAATCGAATGCTCCGTGAACGACATTAAAACGCGTGTTTACTTTAACGCTTCGCGAGTGAACATCGTTTAATCATCGATTACCGGATTCTCAACTATCGTACAAGTTTCTGCGGAACGTACTGTAAGACGAGAGCAAACAGAAGAGACCGCGAGGTACGCAATGCGAGAATCAAGAACAGTTAATATTGAAATTCCTCTTTCACCGTCGCAAAATTGCACGATCATTACTTATTATCAAATTCAACCAAATCGACTCGGCTAATTGTCGCGAGGTAAATTCCAATTTACATATCGCGACGACTCGATCGGAGCGCAAACTCGAGAACGAATCATCCGCGCGGTCTGCCGGATTCCGTCGACGGAAATTTGATCGCTTCGGGGAGCCGCGGCCGGGCTACCGGGAGCGATCGGGACGAGCGCGAGAGAGGAGGTTCAAACGATCGCAATGGGTGCGCGATACGTATGCTGCGGTCCGCGTGTAGCGTACGCCGGCGAGGAGGATGGCCGGGCGTAGTCGGGTTCTGGTCCGCGAGGTTGCGACGAGGAGGGTGCCCTTGAAGCGGGCGGGGTCGTCACTCGCAGGGCCGCGGGTAAACGACCATCGGAAACCCATGTGTGTTACCAGCCGGGGTCCGGAGCCTTATAACGTAGCTTTACTTACTCGTACTACTTAAGTTTCTGGGTGTGTATGCGCGGTCTCGCTGCTCTTTCCCTTCCCCCTCCCCCCTCTCTCTCTCTATCTTCTCCTTCTTCTCTCTTATTCTGC